GAAGGACGAAAAATTGGCCGACCGTTGGAGAAATGGAAAAGCAAATAATTGGACCAAATGTATTCCGTCGGGGTCGTTGAGTTCTCTGATGGATTTGGAGAAGATGGATGATGTTGGTTAAATGGGTGAAATGAGGGAAAATTGGATGATTTTTAGGTTAAAAAGTGAATGGCAATTTTGTCTTTTTATCAATTAAAACCTTTTGAATTTCTTTTTTTTGTTTAATTCTGGTCAAAGGCCATTTGTCCAAAATCATTCTCTTAGCAGGCTGTCTGGCCAAATTTTCTTTCAGAACTCGTCAAAAGGAGAAACCAAAGCCCTAATCCCTCTCAACTCCGACTTCCTTCAACCTAATCGCTAACACTGATCATCATCCATCAGTAGCCCATGTCATTGTTACTACCATGAGGTCGATTTTTGCCTGGAGATTGGAGCTGTAGACAGCGGTGACGGAGGACGCAGAGTACGGTAGGTAAAAATCTTTAATATGTGATTTTTGTTCCATTTTCTTCTCTTTGAATTCATTGCCTACGTATTTGAAGGACAATGAGTATATTCTTTGACATTATAGGTCTGAATGGTTGTTAAGGTATGTTTTGAAGGACAATGAGTATATTCTTGCAACACTACTATATATACAGTACATAAAATCCTTTTGTGATTTCATAATTCGTGTAGTGCGATGAATTAACATTTTATCTATACCTATTGGGTTCGGATTTTTGTTGTTTTTATTGTTGAAATATTTGTATTGGTTTTGGAGGGTCATTGGATTTGGAGGAGGTTTTGAATTTCGTTGACTTGGAGCATGACTTAATTTTTGCTGCGGAAGTCAGTGCATCAGATTTGATCCGAAATGTTGCTGTTGAATGTGGGTAGATTTTTATGAGGTGAATTTAATTTCTTATTCCTATATTGTTATGATTTTTGAATGTGAAATCGTGGCAGGAATTGGGTTGTTGGGATTGAAATTCTATCTCCTTTTGTTAGAGAGAACGATAATATATGTTCATGAGAATGTTATCTAATATGCTATAATTAGTTCAGTAATTTATTTGAAAATATAAATCCGCACTCATTGTATAAATAAGTTAAAGCAACGGCTATTAATTTGACATAAGAATTCCTGCTCTACTAATGCTGCTGATCAATAGAACTTGTAGCTGATACAGCCAGTAAAATAAAAATCATAGTCTGCTTTCTTTTCCCCATCAATCATAGACTGTTTTCCTTTCCCCATCACTTTTTCTATTTTTTGACCTCAAACTATGTTAGGTCATGCAAAAAAACATAAGGCTTAACTTTATAGAATTGAGTGTATGCTATTTTATGTTAATGTCAACTGGATTCTTTTGAAGCTTTGTTTCACCCATGTTCTTAACTCTTGTTACATGATACCTTATCACATTGTATTCCTTACCTCCCTAGCCATGGAAAGTCTACCGCATCAAGAGTCCAAGAATCACCACTAAAATACTTGCAGAAAGGTATCCAATTAGAAAAGAGGTTGCAGCTCATTTTGTATAAATAGTTGATACAAAGGTAAATCAAAATCAAAAATTAAATTTAATAATAATCGATGGATTCATATAATTCATAAAATTTCATCAAAATTATGAAAAATTAAAATTTTATTGAAAACCAAACCAGTACTCATTAATTGAAATTGAAATACTTGTCTGATGAAAACTTCCTGAAACTTTCATCTCTAAAATGAAATACCCAATTTTCTTATGCATTGCTCTTGAAAGATCCCAGTGCCTTACAGGCTGCTGCCCTCAGAATATATTGGTGGTAGAATGTAGCAATAGCAGCTCCAATGAATTGTCCAACCCAAAGAATCCATTGCATATTTATTTAAACAAAAGTAATAAAATATATAGTCCGAAGAACCCTATCTGAAAGTTTAACCTGTTAAATGGCTCATAAAATAATTTATAAACCACAAATGAAACATTTCTTTTAGATTTCACCTTTTGAAATTTTTTTGTATTATGTCAAACATGTCTTTATTTTATAATTGTGAAGACCCTCGTATAAGGTGATGTCCTTCGGTGTCTTGTGATTGTTAATGTGAAAAGGCTCGACATCTGAAGTATGACCTTTTTGGCGGGGTGGGACAAGGCATGTTTTTTTGCTATCACTAGGAATATGTACTGATTATTACTTTGCTTAATATGCAATTCTTTTTTTTTTTTATTATTATTGTGATTATCTATGTATATGCATATATTTATGTGTGAATGTATTTATCATATGTTTTTAAGTTCAATTACAGATTGTTCAAAATCTAATTTTCATTATATTTATGCGTGTTTTTAGTATCCTGCTAACAATCTTTGTAAAGATAACAAGCACCCGAGATAGTGCAAAATAACCATTGCTTTATATCAAACAAACATGATTTTCCCAATGAGATAGCCTGATGATTTCTTTCTTGGCTCTTCACATGTCTTCTCATTTGTACAAAGAAGTATTTGGTGTTTATTTGGTCTTCAGTTATTTGTCTTCTCTCACTATTCCTTTGTACGTCCTTATATTTTTCGTCTTGTTTGTTTCACTTATTTGTAGATGCCTCCCTCACATCACTATAAAATACCGAAGGAAGAGCGCGTTCCTGATCAAATTTCACAAGTAAACCACACGAAGTACATAACAATTGTCCTCAACAAGTTTGAGGAACAATAAAAGAATATGTTTGAGGAAAGCTGTATAGGCCATGTTGCGAAGCTACCCGATCTCAAACTATCTACCCAATCAATTCATGAAATGGTAAATAGATCTGTTATTTGTCCAAAACGTTTCGAAGCTTGGTTCAAGGTAAACCAACGGCTTGCAAGATTTGGTTTACCGGAGTTTACATTAATTACTGGCTTAAAGTGCGACGACTTACCTAAAGGTTCGGCTTCCGAAAAAATCATTGAGAAATGTCGACTACGGGACAAATTGTTTACCAATAGAGACCGAATTACTTGTAGCGACCTAGAGAATGTTTTCTTCAAATGTGCCAACCGTAATGATCGTTACAAGTTTGGGTTGGCACTAATTATTGAAGGGGTATTCAATTGTAGAGACCAGAATGTGGGGATACATCCCAATACTCTTTCCATTGTGGATAACTTGGATTTTTTCAATGCCTATCCATGGGGAACAGTATGTTTTAAGCCTCTTATGAAATCACTAATTCGTGGATGGGGGAGAAAGACAGACTTGGCAAAAGTCAACGATTGTGATCGGATGTCTTACACGTTGTACGGATTCCATCTTGCTGTATAGGTATACATGCGTCCGCATTTTATTTAAGTGTTATGCATTGCACATTTGTCTCTCCTTGTATGGTAACAACTGTTATAAATGTGTTGTGATGGTCTGGCACATAATTGGGAGCTTGATTCTCGAGTAAGATTGGTGACGACATTCTGAGGATGTTGCAATGGTGGCACAACACAGTTTCAATCAAGAACATATTCAGATTTTTTCGACAAGACACATGTGACCAATTCACCTAAATAACTGAATTAGTATTTTCGACCTATATTATAATTGATTTTGAGGTCTTTTCATCCCTTCGCAGTTACGCTTGTGAGCGACGTTGCGTGCTACTGCTGAAGAAGAATTGCAGCCATACTTTTCCAAGTTAGTTCCATTTGAAGATGTTGCAAACCCAGTTCTATTCTTCAATCAACTGTAATACAAGATTGTCCACCAGAAGATGACGTGCTACCAAGTAGTGAGAACAACCGTTGCAAGAAATCTAAGAGAGCAACCACAAGTAGACTTCGACCGTATAATTTCAGCGATGATGAAGGTGGAGAAGGAGGGCATCACGATCCATTCCATGACTTGCCGTCATCTTCTACCATGGGAAATCGGCCAACAGTGAGTCATGTTTCTTTGGATGATATCAGAGCTCTGTTGGTTGAACAGGGGGATATGCTTGAGCTAAAGTTGGGGAAACTGAGAAACGAAATGAACATGAGGTTCAATGGTAAAGAGAAGGATATGGGAGATCGTGTGAGTTCTATGAAGGACCATGTTACAGATCAAATAAATATGATGAAACGTAGGTTTGAGGATGTTGTGATAGAAATTGGGAGAGAGAAGGTGAGTGATGAGTACGGTGGATTTTGTTGTGGGAATGTGGGCGATGAAGCTATGCCTATACATGATGATTACGATGATTTATCGTTGCTGAACATTGCGTATGACGAACAGTGATAAGTGTTTTTTACACACTTATTAGACACTTTTTGGAGTTAATTATTGTTGAAATTGAGTAAATTTCTATTCATAATTGTGTAATTTTCACTTTTGTAGGCAAAAAACCCCCGATAGGAAATAGAACGAGGCGAAAAGGAAGAAAATTGGACTTAAAGCATAAAAAATGGTGAAGTTGAGGACCAAATTGCACAAGATATAAAGTTGAAGGACTTGAAGTGCAATTTACGGAGGGCTTAAATGTAATTAATACAAAATATTGTTAGATATTTTAGGATATTTAGCTTGTTTCATAAAATATCATAAAATATCTATTTTATAGTATAAATAATCCAAAATATCTAGATATTATATAATATATATATATACATACTACTTTGTAGAGTTAAAAAAAGATAGAAAGAAATTCTCACCTATTTCTCTCTTCACTTCACACGTTTTTTCCTCTCTTTTTTCTTTCTTTTATTTTGTTGGTTTTGTTTGTTAAAACTTGGCTCAATTTGGATGCAAAAATCAATAGCAATTAGGAGATAGCATTAAAGAAAGGTGGTGAAAGAGTTGGAAGGATTCAAAGCTACATAAAAAGGGTTGTATCTATACCTTTGCATTTCTTCCATTTATTTTATCATGTTTGTAATATTTTGTAACAAAAATCTCCTTTGTTATTGTATTAATATGATGATGAGCTAAATTGTTTTTGTTGAAATTTATGGAGTAGCTTAACCTAATATTTCATTAATGTCAATGATATGTTTATTTTGATTTTGTTATGCATTGGTTATCAAAATAATAGTGTATTAATCATCATGTTAAAAATTGCTTCATTTATTAGACGTCAATAGATGTGGTAATTAGGTGTTTATGTGATTGTTGAAAAAATAATTACATTTGCTAGACCGAAATGATTAATACCCTGGATTTGCATTAGTATATCTTTTGCGCGTTTAGGTGATATAGAGATATACACCTACTCTAGGTGACCCGTTGAGTATTTTTATAAAAATTCATGCTGTTGGTTATGTTTGTAACGACATAGAGATATGCGGTATGGATACGCTGATTAGGGTTAATATGACCTCGAGAGGGGGTATTAACTAAAATAGGAAAATCGGGTCTGACTACTTATTTTGATAATTTGCATCTGTGCGTGATTGAATTGACATTAATGAAGTATAGGTTAAGGGAAAACATAAATTCTAACATCTTTTCAAAATCCAAATCTCTTTATTTTTTATCTGTCATTTTATCAGTTTTAATCTAAATTGCAATTTTTAGGATTTTAAAAATCATTTTTAAATCTCTGTGTGTGTCTTTCGTTAAAATTAAGACTGATAAACGTCGAATTGAATTAAACACTCTCTGAGGGATCGACTTGGACACTTTAGGTCCACTTTTACTACTTGTTCTCGACCCGTGCACTTGCGGCATAGAATCACACGCGAACAAACGGCATGTCGAGGCAGTGACATGGATGCTTGTGACCTCGATGGCTCGTTCGAGAGATCCTCAGATGTGGTTGCCCCAACCGTGGATCCACCCGCCATCCCGACCTCGATCCATCAGGGTGAAGATTTCTAGTGCTAACACGCGGACTCCATTTACATGATCTGGTTGTCGAAAAAGTAAGATGAATGAGTAGCTACTGTCCAATGTTAGCGTAG